TTGATTAAATTTTTAGTATTTATTATTCTAAGGCTAATTACAAAAATAGTATAATACTAATACTAATACTTTTTTATTTAGTGAATGATTTTCATGTCTTCCAAATTATTATTATTATTATTATTATTATTATTATTATTATTATTATTATTATTTTGTAGTTTAAATAGTTTAAACATCAAAATTATTATTATTATTATTAGCTAAAAGTTGCAATGCTTCAGCAACACGTACCAGCATCCCTAAAACATTACGAGAGATTTTTTTTTACAACATGTGGGGGTGGGGGATTAAATTCACGACTTTTTTATTGGAGATATATGTCAATTACCACTAAGGAGGTATGCTCGCTTTGGCATATTACGAGGGTTTTTGTACTAAAACATAATAGAGGTTTTTAGCGGCACGTTTTAAATCGGCATTGTTGAAAAAGCAAATTAGGGACATCGCCGTGAAAGCGACATATTTGGAGGCATTGGTAAATATTCGTCATTGAAAATTTGTTTTCTTGTAGTGTTATCCTAGCATGAACTCCTCGTTTTTAGTGATGTATGGCAAAATCTTTCGATTCTACATGACCAAGATCTCAACATTCACTCGTTCGTACACCAATATATGCGAGCAGTAGCTTTGGTAATTATTTGATGTTATTTACATATATATAAATACTTAAAACCTATTCTCTATAAACATCCATCTCGAAAACTTTGTCATCAAGTACTTCATTTGATGTCGAAGTCACCAAACTCTATACCAACCTACAACATAACTTCTTCATTTGAAAGTTGAAACTCCATGAGCAAAAGCCTTCCTCCAAGGTTAGGAGTGTCAACAGGCTTATTTCTTCTCTCCAAATTTGATCTATGTTAAATTTTGCGGAAATAGAAATGAGGATTTCTTACAGAGAAATGTGGAATTTTTACTAATTTACCGACTTGCATTTTAACCTTGTGCAATAAACTTCTTCTACCGAAGACTAGTGGTAGATGGTCCCACGTAGGCGCCTATGAAGAGTTTCGTGGAAGGAAAATGAACGGGACTTGGCTTTTGGGCTTTTCCAACATAGCTTTGGTGCTCTTCTAAGAGGAGTACTTGGCAGCGTAGTAGTTGGTTTTGGAGGATGTGATGTTGTATACCATCATAATATAGTTTCGAGGGTCATCCACTGCGAAAAGACCTTCTTGAGTGGATAGTGGAAGTTTCCAGATCGGAAGAACTAGAATGGAAAATTGATTTCCAATATTGAAGATAAGCTCTAGCACCAACTTAATTTTCTTTAATATATATATATATATATTTTGAAAACTTGGTAACACATGAAATAGAAGACAACCAAAATAAACTCATAGTACAAAACAAAGAAACAAGATTGTTGGGATCAAGGGGACCAAGATGCCCAAGCTGTGGTTTGTCTGTACACCCAATAGGAACAGCCAAGAGTCAATTGAAAGTAGACTTGACTTGGCTTTATACAATTATATAATTGTAGCTAGATAAAAGTATATATTATTAATTTACAATGGGTAGTTTGGTTGATCTTGTTGAAAAATTAAGAAAATTATTTTGATAATTATTTTAAATTTCAAAGATAATTCGAGTCACATTTATATTTTAAATGATTAGTCTAAGCATAGTTGAATGCTTTCGATCAAAATGTTAAAAGGATAAAATTTTCACCCCACATAGATTTGAACTAAAAAAACGCTTTGCATTTTACATGGG